TTCAAGGACATGCCAGATGGTGCTGAGACTTGAAGGAGGCAGATGTGCCAGGACGGAGAGGGGATTCCAGACATGGGGAATAGACTGGACAAAGACATGGAGTCAGGAGATGGAATGTCACGGATGGGAAAAAGCAAAATCAACGTGGCTTGAATATAGAGTGTTTGAGGAAGGATGTTATGAAATGAGCCTAGAACTCCAAGTAACGAAGGCCTCTCAACGCTAAACAAATCGGTCTGTATCACAGGAGGAGCCATACGAAGTCACTGGTACTTCCTGAGGAGGATACTGATAAGATCAGGCCCATGTTTCTACAATTTCAGTTTCTAAAAATATACTCAGTTATTCCTAGACCAGGCTCTCCGGACCTCAGTTTCCCCATCTGTAAAATGAAAAGGTTAGAGCAGATGACCTCTAAGGTTTCTTTTAACTTCAGATCTTTGAGCCTCGTTGTTTTGTCTCTGCACTCGCTTCTCAGTGAAGCAGGAACGAGCACAACGTTCCACACAAAATCATGGCTCCCTGTGTTTGATGAATGGAACGCATGAATGAATGCACTCACCACCACAGTATGCACATCTAAGTAGGATACCTTCTCCGTTTACTCCACCATTCTTCCACGTTCTTCAAAGATCCATGTTTATACTGGTGTGGGCACCTCCTCCACCGACAGAGATTGCAATCCCTCTCATTTATTAGGTGGTCTTCATGAGCTACTGTGATCAAAATCCTGCACCTGGTGGCTGGCCCCCTGGTGGTGACCTTCTCCTCACCTGGCTAGTATGGTCCTTGCACAACAGACAACATGGTTCCTCAGTGGAGCCATATTTGAATCCTTTCCAACTTGGTAAGACCCAGGGAGTGGGGCATGTACTGTTGGCATGGTCTTTAAGAACCCAAGGGTTACCTCCACAAGACATGGAAAAGTTCTATCTAGGATCAATAGTCTTAGTATGATTGTTGATCATCATAATAATGGCACATCTCTATTGTGCTTTTAGGATTAAAAAGTACACATACACAGTAAGATGGGTAGCACAGGTACAATTATTCCCCTTGTTGAAAAGAAAATTCTTCATTTGGGCTTTCACTCTGATTAATACGGCAAAACTCAAGACAAAGAGTTTTATTATAAGTATGTCAAGGTAGCAATCTGTTGGGGCTGATCACGGAGATCAGCAATGGATTCGAGGTGGGGCCAGCTTTGATAGGTAACTTTGGGGCAATCCAGATAGGTCCACCTCAGCAAAAGAGTTTGGGCCCTTGAATTGCAGTTTCTCCCCAAGGTAGCAAGAACAGGATAATTTGCAGGTAGGGGTAAGTAACAAAGAGCAGGTGACACAAAAAGCTGCAGACTTGGGGTCTCCTTCCCCACTAGAGCCTCCTCCAACACTGGTTGATAAGCAGGTCTGGGAACAATGGGTAACTGAGTCAGCATCTCTTTCAACACCCTTTCCTGGTTGAGGAAACTGAGGCACACAAGTGTGAAGTAACTTGCCTAAAGTCACACAGCTAGTCCTTCAAGACCCAGCCTGAAATCTATTTTCCTCTGATGATTCTAGCATCACTTCTTCCTCTATCTTAACATCCTGGTCATCCACAGCATTTATTGTCAGGATGAGACATCTTGGCATTCAGGTCATAAGATTCAGAATTGGAAGAGACCTTAGAGTTCATAACCTTGATTTGAAAATTAAGAAAACAGGGGCAGCTAGGTGGCGAAGTGAATAGAGCACTGGCCCTGGGGTCAGGAGGAGCTGAGTTCAAATGTGACCTCAGACACATAACACTCACTAGCTGTGTGACCCTGGGCAAATCATTTAACCTCAATTGCCTCACCAAAAAAAAAAAAAAGAAAGAAAGAAAGAAAGAAAAGAAAAGAAATTTAAGAAAACTGATGCCCAAGCAAGGAGAGTATCTGCCTGTAGTCCCATAGGAAGGGAGAACACTGACATGAACCCAAGTCTCCTGACTCAAAAATCAACATTCTTTCCACTATGTGCTTTTCATAATACCTACACCTGAGTCAGGAAACTTTAAAAATGCACAATGTCATTGTCATTGTAACAACAATGGGTGCCACTGTGGAGGGTAGAAATGATTGCCTTCTGCCAACGGGCAATGCCAAATCTTTCTCAGGCCTCGGTTTCTCCTTTCAGGGGATGGTTCATGACATGTCATTTTCTTCAGTCATTGCCCCCTCCTCCCCGCCTTCCCCTTTCCTGAATATTTAATCAACCACACTGTTACAACAATTAGCCAATTTTACACAAGGGGTGATACAACAACTCTCAGGTCCACGAGGTCCCTTTCTCTACTATTTTATGGAGTTTGTAGCAGATGAAAATTATTAACACAATCACAATAGTTCAGAGCTCCAGGTTAGAAAAATTCCTAATACATGGATAGAAGTTTGGTTCTCTGCACTTATTTAAAGTGTATGTATTTCCAGTGGATTCCTCCACTCCACCTTTTTGTCAGCATAGGCTAACTATACCATAGACTAACTCTAGGTTTCTTGAAATAGAATCAGGATACAGGAAATGCTTAGAAAAGAGAAAGAAGAAGAGTATATAATAATCCCTTTTTTGGACAGGCAGGGGGAAGAGAAGATGAGGAAAGAAGAAATCTTTTGGAACTTTCAAGAATCCTTGAAGAGATTGTTACAACCCACAGCTCTGGTCCAAGTTCTTATTTCAAAATGCCAGCAGAGAACGCATGGCCCACTTCAATCTTTCCTTTCTCGCCCACTTCTCAGCTCTCCTTTCTTCCTCTCTTTCCTCACTCATTGACCCTGGATCTCTGCTTCTCCTAGCTCAGTGCATTAAGTTTCTGGGGAGGCGGAGGAGGTGCTGAGGACCCCATCTCCCCTACTGCCACTGCTGCTCGGCTCCAGCAATCCCAGATCTCTTTTGGGTCTGTTTTCTCATAGCCATGTCTTCATCAAAATTCCCAGGAGTTACACAAGTCCACCTTCCAACCCAAAGATCATGGTAGTCTATATCACCCTCAGGGGTGAGAGGGAATGTTTGTCCCTCTGAACTACAACCTTCAGAGTTCTAGTCACTGCTCAAGTCCCCATTGTATTATGAAGGCATTTTCTTGCCATATAAATATATGCCTTCTTTCATGTGTAATAGTTTCTTTACCTTGATTGAGCGCCTTGAAGGCAGGGGCCAAATCATCTACTTCTTTTATGTGTCCCACAACTCCTAGATATAGGGTAGGTGCTTAAATGTTTATTGAGTTGAATTTTTAGTATACTCTAGTAAAAAAATATGTTGTAATCAGAAGCCCTGGGTTTGAATTCTAATTCTGCCTCTTAGCTGTATGACTTTGCTCAAGCAGCTTAACCGGTGGGGCTGCAACTCTCAGCTGTCAAATGAAAGCAGTGTACTAAATGATCTCTAAACCCTACAAATCCTGTGAATTTAACCAAATGAAATTGCTAGAAAAATTTGGGAAACCATAGGTAATAATTTGGTGCTCGATTGTATTTTTCTATTTTCTTATTTTAAATCAGTTTTTGTTAGTATTTTTAAAAATTACTGTCATTCATGAATCCTCCCTGTGTACATGTAGGTTGAGCTGCCTGTTTTTAAGTCCTGCCCTTGGAGGCCCTTTCCACCCAAGGTCCCACCCAGTGACACCTCCTCTGTGATAAACATCTGGCTGTGTGGGTGGTGTCCAAGAGAACTTTTCACATTCTTCCACAATGTGATCTTTCAGGATGAAGTCATGTTAGGGGGATTCCCAACTTAAGTACTTGGAAGGCGGGGCCATTTCCTAGGCTTCTATTCCATCCCCCACAGTGCCTAGTAAATGGCTGGGCACAGAATTAAGTACTCAATTAATAGAGTTGAGATGGCTTGAATTGAAACACTGAGGAAGGCTGCCATGAGGGGTTGTGGTATTTCTGTCTCTTGAGATGTTTTAAGAAGTGATCAACACTGCTCTGCCAGAGAAAGGTGTGTGTGTGTGTGTGTGTGTGTGTGTGTGTGTGTGTGTGTGTGTG